CTGAAATCTTTGCTTTGTCCCCTCCCGCAAATTCTGATGATCGAATAATCCAATTTTTTGTTTCTACCAAAGCATTCACCTCCTGTGCACTACCCCGACCCGACTTTCGAAAGGTTGACTATGTTTCTCTTAATAGCTACCTTGCTGATATCGATTTTTTGGGCTTGTTTGATCAGTACTGCTCGGCTGATGACGTTCACTATAAATTCTGTACCTTGATATACAGTGCTCTCGCAAAATTTGTACCTTTTACCTTGGCCCGACATCTTATATATAAAGCTGAATGTCTGTCTGTATGTATGTCTGTATGTCTGTCTGTACGTATGTGCGGAATAGAAATTTTTATTTCTGAACCGATCGGGACCAAACTTGGCACACATATACTTCGGGGCAGGGAGCGTGTCATAGGCTACTTTTCGTTATCGATCGATATCGATTTTATCGATTTTTTGCAAAATTTAAGCTACAGGGCTGGGATTTGGCACAGGGGGGTAATCGAGCATGCTGATTACGAATATAATAATGACAGGCCCGGGCGGAGCCGGGTTTGCCAGCTAGTAATTTATAATACAACTAGCTGGCTTACCCGGCTCCGCCGTATGTTCCGAATAGAAAATTCCATTTCTTAACCAATCCGGACCAAACTTGGCACACATACACTTCGGGCCCCGGCGGGTGTCATAGGCTACTTTTCGTTATCGATCGAAATCTTTTCGCGCAGAAGGAAAGACTGTTTAGCCATATGCTAAATCCTTCTTCCAATCCACTGTAATTACAAGAAAGTATGCCAAGATATCGATTACCATTTGAAGAAATATTCATCCAATCGACAGCAAAATCTGGCTAGGAAAGCAAATTCGAAGTTTTTTGAATATATAAATAAAAAAATTAAACCAAATCGTCATCTGCCGACTATAACTGATCAAACCGGCCGTATCTATTACACGGATGCAGAAAAACCACATGCCTTAGCCCGCTATTTCGCCGGAGGTGCCGCAGATCTGGAAGGAGGCTGTAATTATAGTGATTCCTAAATTCTCTAACCCACGCTTGCTTTCAGATTTTCGGCCCATTAGTTTATTCCTATGGCCGTAAAAGTGGTGGAGAAAGTCCTGCGTACTAGACTGTTTTGTGACTTGATAGGCTCAACGTGATCCCTATCAATCAACATGGTTTTATGGAAGGATCATCCACTACCACTAATCTTGTGGACTCTGTTTTTGATTGGAATTTGGCACTCAATAATGGTAGTTCTGTTGATGTGGTTTATGTTGATCTCTCCAAGGCGTTTGATAGGGTTCATCATGGAAAGCTTTTATATAGACTAGGTTGAAATCGTACTTACACAACAGAGGCATGACGGTCAAAGTTGAACATCACTTTTCTGAACGGCAACTTTATACAAGTGGTGTTCCGCAGGAAGCAGTCCTTTCTTCATTACTCTTCATACTATATGCTGCTGAACTTCCGTCCGTCTTGAAAACGTCCATACACCTGTCAATTCAGATGTATGCCGACGACATAAATATTCACGGAAGTTTTGATAACTACAATAAAATACACGTCAGTTCAGCATTAAAAGCATCTCTTGGAAACATGATGGAATGGGCTGCTTGCTCTGGCATATCTGTAGATTTAGAGAAAAGCCTTGTAATGCATTTTGGAGATGATGACTTCCCAGTTTATGAGATAGACGGAATTAGGTTGAAGGTACTCGTAGATTCTGAATTGAATTTTGCCAGTCATATTGATTATGCACTCAACAAAGCATTTTCAATATTATTTGCTATTTTCCACAATGTACACACCGATAATCCCTTAATTCTCAAACAACTTTATAATGCCTACGTTTTGCCCCACTTGGAATACTGTTCTGTTGTGTGGAGTCCTTTTCTCAAGGAAGACATACGTAAATTGAAGAAAGTTCAACAAACGTCCACTCGAATACTATATAAAAGGTGTCGACGAAAGTTTAATTGTATTGAAATGCTAATTACGAGACTAGGCTCAACCCTTGGGGGTGCGAGTGGGACCCAGGCAGCCGACTGCTGCCCAGCCAGCCGCCAGAGCTGGCGCAGCGCCGCAGCCTATGGTGGAATAATTACGCTAGCCGTTTGAAATCTCTTGCCGAAAGGTTATCTCGCACCTCGTGAGGTGCGATATCAGCCTTAGGGACAGCACGATATTATCAAAATTTCTATATCATTTCAAACACCAAAAAGTCTTAGTTTAATTTTAGTTTATTGAGAACCATGCAACCATTTACAAAGCTAATATAAGCGACAAATTTTCAAAAAATGCGGAAAGAGTGGAAAAATGCGAGATCAAATACTTTTTGTTACAAATTTGGACATCAGCATATCAAGTAGAATTCGAAAATTCCTGCACATCACTATCAAAAAATCATAACTTCTTTGTGTCACGATGGTAAGCACAGATTAAGCTCTTTACAATAGTAGATTTTCGATGAAAAGTATGAGAAAGAGAAACAGTCCACTGAACGAAATCACTCGGCATTTAGCTTTTTCAAACAGGACTACAGAAAATTCTGGAAATATTTTTTTGGAAAAAAAATTTTGCGCATTACTACAGTAAATTTGTATGAATTTTATGAATATTTTCAATCCCCAAGATACTCCCAATAAAGTCAAATAATAAAATACCTGGAGAAGTGATGAATTTTCCACGTATGCTTGTTGAGCCTGAGGCTCTTGTTGGAAGCTGTACAAATAAGATATTTTCAGTTTTTGATGATCTGCGCTGTTCTCTTTCATATCAGCAAATGTGGCATATTTCCACCTCATTATCAGAGTGACCTACTCAACTACGCTACTTTGGCTCATTCATTTGACCTACATTGGACTACATATTTAGCTCGCTTCATCATAAATCTTAAAATGCTAATTTTAACAGACTTTCCTTGTTATTATGTCTCGTGCGTTCCTCGATTTTTAATTACAGGAAAAAATTTTTGGTAAACAAACACTTTTTTGCATCTTGTATTATTTCAGCTTCTGGTTATTTTCCGGAATCGAATTCCATGACCGTTTTCCTTTGGAAAAACACTCTGTGTAAATCTGTTCATTTGCTTTTTATCAGTGAAATATAAAATTTTTGTTGTTCAAAATTATATGATTATTGATAATATCGCGCTGTCCCTGAGGCAGATATCGCGCTTTAGCGCGACGAGGTGCGAGGAAACCTGTTAGCAAGAGATTTCAGACGGCTAGCATAATTATTCTACCATATGCTTCAGCGCTGATGCCATCTCTGGCTTTTGGCTGCGCCAGCAGTCGACTGTCTGGGTACCACTTGCACGCCTCCCAGTCCTTGGCGATGAAAATTTTAGAGTATATAGGCGTTTATTTTTGGATCTTGTCTTTGCTTTTCGACTTATTTGCAAAAAGCTTAGAATCAATGCAAGTAAATATTGTATTTTTCGACCGACTAGTAGAAATGGTGGGTTTCACATTTATCACCCGCGCATCCAAAGAAAACGTTTTCGTTTCGTGTTCAACAGTTTCCTTTACAGAATTCCACGATGGCTTTGTACACTACTGTGTAATACGCTGCAAGTCGAGAGTGTAGCTACTTTCAAACGTAGAATCAATACACTTGATTTATTACAAGTGAAATACTCTGAAAATAGCTAATACTTACTATTAGTCGTTTTTTAGTTTTAATTCAGCTATCTCATGTTTACTGACATGTACAAAGGCTGGCTTCTCCAAAAATCAAACCCTTTTCAATTGTTTTCTCACTGTGGATTAAGTTCACTCATATAGTCTTCACGACCTCATTTATAATACTATACAAATGCACTTATTATCTGCTGCCTTCTTTTTCCATGGGAGCGATATAAGAGAAAGCTCAAAGAGGTATTCTCGCTGGGGTACGCATGGAATTAAGATTATTCGCTCTGGTGTCTTTCTCTTTTTTCGCTTGAGAGTGATAGCTTAAAGGCTATTCACACCATGGTTGCGGTATGACTATTCATACTTCCTCAATTATACTCATACCTATACACCTATTGAGAGTAAGCTATAATTTTATTTTTGCAGCACAGTTTGATTTTTCAAAAAACCAGCACTTATTCTTTGCCTTATCATTTAGTGCCAATTAGCAATCTTGTCGAACTAATATGTTCGTTGGGTGCATCATTGAATGCATAAATAAATAAAAAAATAAAATAAATAATTACTTCATGCTATCCAAATTGTGAGTCGAGACCCTAGCAATCACTTTCTCTCTGAAGCAGCAGACAGATATACATACGTGAACACACACATACATACACATACACATACACATACACATACACATAAACATCCACATGCACATACACATAAACATACACATACACATACACATACACACAACATACACACACACATACACATACACATACACATACACACACAACCACACACAGACGTGAAGAAACAGCCGGTCTCAGTGCTTTATTACTGACATGAGTACCCTAAATCCACTCTCACAAAGCGCGGTGATCAAAGAAACCCATACCGTACTGCCTATTGCCTAGGAAATTCGTGCGACATAAGGATTGTTTCCGAAACACAGCGAAGCGGCTGAGCAGTTCGCTCAAAAAATCGAAGAAGGTGTAGCCGTAAGCCTCAAATTAGGGCAATGTTTTTGCAAGCTACGCTAACACACACAACGGCGAGTTGTGTGATATACGAAGCTACAGCTTAACCAATGCATTGTAAATCTAGATTTTGGCAAGTGACTGATACTTAAGAGATGTAAAACGGCGTAATCATTGCTATTGTTTATGATACCTGCGCAATGGGTAAGTGGTAAACTATCGAATGAGAGTTTTTCTAACGTGCCCAACGCCGCGTTTCTGGCTTCAAAACTAGGCCAGAACTTGTGGGTTGGCAGGTAAAGACATAGTGAACTTTCCTTGTGGAAGGAGAGGCGATCTTAAGTCGTCGTCGTCATTAACTTTTTACTCTCATTTCAAATGTGTTAAGATGTGAGCCCAAACATCGACAAAGTTGAAAACAAAAAAAAACGGTCAAAGTATCACACAAGCTTTGCTTATCATATGTGAGATGGGGGACTGCATTTGTGAAATATACTCAGGAGGAGGTTCACTCTTCTCGAAAAGTCCCTGTCGGCTTTGCAGTTCAGACAATTTTTCCTAAAAGATAAAAGTTGCTTGAAGATACACATTTGCAGGCTACTACCTGCAGTTTTGCTAGCTGGATCTCGTGGCCTTCAAAGGTACTGGACTGAGCTCTTATCTGAGCTTTTAGCAGTTCAATTTCCAACATCAACGCCGAATCGCTAATCAACTTGCTGCAAATAGTTTCATGGCTCAGATACTCTCTACAGACTTTGAATTCGAACAGTCATGTGAATGCATATGAAGGTACAATTACTTGCTCGCGTGTTTTCGGCTGTCCGTTCAAAAAAATGAGAAGTATGGGGAAAGTTCGGTTTTCCTTGAACCTTGGCATTGTTTTGAACACTTTTGGCATAAGGTGATCTGTTGTCAAGCTATCTGTTGTGCTGTTGATTATATGTTCTTGTGGCTCCGATGATGTCTTTGACTAAGCTTTCGAGTTTGTTTTGTTCCTGGCACTTGACGTCTGATTAGATAGGCACTTATGACTTCGTCTTTCCAGGCTCCGAAAAAGGCCTAGATCGCCGAAACGTCGAGATCAGCCAATAAGGTTATCATACCAATCTTGGTCAAGCTCAGAAAGTACCGAAAAAGGAAAATAAGAAGAACAAATCGTTTTCTTCATAGCAGTGTTTTGGCGGGTTCCTACTGGACATACATTGCATTAGAGGTGATAGAAAATAATTGCTTAAATTTTAGATTTCTTTGTAGGGTCATAAAAATCTAAAACTTGCAGTAAGAATCGGAGCTGTCAGTATTATAGGTTCTATTACCTGCTCTTTCTAACTGTGGGAGGTACTGATTAAGCGTTCTTATGAAAAATTATGATTTTCAAGTTAAATACCGAGATAAACCAAATTCACTTTTTCTACTGTTTGCTCGAAAATCATAACTTTTCATAGAGACGCTCGACCAGCACAGAATTTGCACGATAGGAAAAGGCAGGTAATAGAACCTATGATATTGACTGTCGCATATTCGCGACTTCCTTCAAAGGAGGCCGCCGTCGCGCTGTGAAGGGTCCCAAAACGCCGTCCTCGAGCTGTCCCGCCTCTCACCTCTCTCACCTGCGCAGCGTTCAAATAAGTCACGTAGTCAGTCTTCGACTGTCGCCATCGTAAGGGTCGGGTTTCAATTCGTCTCAAGTATCGATCGATCCAGCGCCATCCCCAACTTACGCGTCATCTCCATCAACGCCACTGAGGACTGACACCGCGTTAACCTTGAGCGCGCTCGCGCCTGGCACACGCCAGCGACACCGCCTCGGGGGGTTTCCGGTATTGTCGGCCCCTAGGTTTAAGATCTGGCTGCTGTGCTCACCCCTTGTGTTTGAATATAAGGAATAGTGTGGATAAATGGTGGACATTTTACAAGTGTGATTTGTTTAATGCGGTGAGCCACAGCTCGACTGTGGCTCCAGGTATATCTTGTATCACCAATGTGTGTGTATTTCATAATCATGCCTAGTGGGAAAGATCTGGCAAAAGGCTGGCAGAATACTAGTTAAGTGCCATGGTTATATGTACACACTCCAACTGTCGATGGTTGGGAGTATGATTCGAGCCGCAGGTGTCAAGTCATTTACTAAGTAGGCTGATGGCAAGGGCCCCTATATGTGCATGGCATGTTGTGTGGCAGGCGGAATTTGCATTCTTGCAGGTGAAGCCACCACAATTCACGCTGCACCTTATTCCGGATGGGACCTCTGGCTCCTACCGCCGATGCAGGAGAGCCATAATACCACTGAGGTTGGAACTGGGGGCCCAATCCGCGACATTGACTGCCCCGATTTTTACTGCAAGTTTCAGATTTTGTATGACCCTACACAGAAAATTCAAAATTTGCGTAAATTTTTTCTACCGCTCCCATCTGCGCAGTATATGCTCATGAGGAAGGCGTAAGGTCCCACTATGAAGAAAATAAGTTGCTCTTTCAAACAAAAATGAAAACTCGCAATAGGTTGGAAAAAACAGAAGTTATGAATTCTTGGAAATGGTGCGAAAGAACTTTTGAATTCACCTAATATACAGGTTGTCCCAAAAAGATGTGCACACTGTTTGATTGTAATAACTCTCTTGCTTCCATGTCTTTTGCGGAGCTTAGGGTACCATTCTTTAGAGCGAGGATAGACTTAGATTTACAATATGGGGCGACTTCTCAGCAGCTCTTCAACGCTGTAGGATTACGGTGGGAATTTCGAGGAGGATTTTAAGCCATTGAAAGCCTATTATTCATTAAGCCTCATAAAGAAAGCCAAACAAGCCAGAAACTATTGAGCTGGAAAAATTGAAGATGCTGATTGAATCTGAAAATTGCACGTCAGTACATTGTTTCTTTCATGAGTTATTTCAAATTTAGAGTACAAGTGATTTTCCATTTCTGTCAGAAATGTCTATACGCCATCAAGAAAGCTCGAAAAACTGGTGGAAAGTCATGCAGTGAAATCAAGACGCGTGAAAACCTTGCTACACAAATTTTTAGATTTTTTCGAAATTATTTCATCAACAGCCCTATTACACAGTGACGCTATATGCTGAAAGTTCATACCGTCATCCTATAGTAACGAAGAGTGATTGGTGGCGCACCGCTTTGAAAATCTAAGTTTATCCTCGTTCTACAGAATGGTACCTCAAGCTCGGCAAAAGACATAAAGCAAGAGAGATATTAACGATCAAACAGTGTGCACATCTTTTTAGGACACTCTGATTAGGTTGGCTCGAAAGTTCGTTCGCACCATTTTCCAAAATTCATAACTCCTGATTTTTCCAACATGATAGAGTAAGTCATGCTTTTTAAGAAACGCCTTAGCTGCTTGCTAGTGTTCATCTGTTGCATAGATAGGAGCGATAAGAGGAAGTTAGTCAAAATTTAAATTTTCTGTGTAGGGTCATGAAAAATCGCAAACTTGCAACAAAAACGGAGCAGTCGGTATTGTAGCTTCTTTCACCAGCTCTTTCTAACAGTGCAAAGTTTGCGCTGATTGAACGTCTCTATCGAAAGTTATGATTTTCGAGCAAGCTATTAGGTTGTCAAGAAAATAATGTCCGTTTTTATTTGCTTACTTTAACAAAGCAACCAGACTCAACCCAACAAAGGATAATGGGCACTGTGCGATAGAGCAAAGCAAGCTCTACAAGATGGCGCTCATGTCTTTGCGCCATGCTCGATCCACGGAGAGTTTGAACTCAAAATCTAAAGATTTCCAAAAGCCCAAAAAATCGAAAAAAATCAGATTTTCGTCCAAATAATTTCTACGGACCTCCCACTCGCTCACATCAATACTATCGATATCTAATATCCATATGTGCGATTGCCGTATTTTTTCCTTGACTAGAAACTGAGAAAACGAAAATTTCCCTGATTTTCTCAAAGCAATGCTGAGCCGTTTTTGCATATGTAGTTCTATACTGCAAGCCTAGGTAAGCATAACTGTAGGTTTTCAGCCTATTTCGAGCGGTACTTTTCGAGAAATATCGATTTTAGCACCGAAACTGAAACGAAAAAATCCCAATTCGTTATTTTTCGAAAACTACCGCTTGGAATGGGCTGAAAATCTACAGTTATACTTATCTAGGCTTGTAGTATAGGACCACATATGCAAAAACAGCTCAGCATTGCTTTGAGAAAAACAGGGAAATTTTCGTTTTCTCAGTTTCTAGTCAAGGAAAAAATACGGCAACTGCACATATGGATATCAGATATCGATAGTATTGATGCTAGCGAGTGAGAGGTCCGTATAAATTATTTGGATGAAGATCTGATTTTTTTTCGATTTTTTGGGCATTTGGAAATCTTTAGATTTTGAGTTCGAACTCTCCATGGATTGAGCATGGCGCAAAGGCATGAGTGCCATCTTGTAGAGCTTGCTTCGCTCTATCGAACAATACCCATTATCCTTTGTTGGGTTGAGTCTGGTTGCTTTGTTAAAGCAAGCAAATAAAAACGGACATTATTTTCTTGACAACCTAATAGAAAAGGGCGAATTTGATTTATTTTGGCATTTTTCAGGGAAATCCTAACTTTTCATAGAGATGCTCAATCAGCACAAACTTTGCACAGTTGGAAAGAGCTGGTGAAAGATCTTACAATATCGACTGCTCCGATTTTTGTTGCAAGTTTCCGATTTTTTATGACCCTACACAGAAATTCAAATATTGACTAATTTTCTTCTATCGCTCCTATCTATGCAACAGATGAACATTAGTAAGCGGCTAAAGAGTCCTTATAAAGAGCATGTCTTACTCTTCCATATAAAAATAAAAGCAGTCAACGGTTGAGAAAATTAGAAGTTATGAATTTTTGAAAATCATGCGAACTTTCGGGCCAACCTAATATTAGGTTGGCACGAAAGTTCCTTCGCATCAAATTCAAAAATTCATAACTTCTTTCCGTCACAACAATTTTGCGCAGTTCAAATCACATTAAAAAGAGTATAACATGTAGTTTCCAAAAATCCCCTGGAGGCTTTCCAACTTGCTCAGGTTACAGAGATGATAATGAAAGAACGAGACCATCCGAAATTCGGAATTTTTAGGCAAAAATTCTAAAAATTTAGAAACTGTGCGATAAAATCCAGAACAGCTGTCATCCTAAGTCTTCTTGTATTTTATTACTAACTGAGTCAAGTCTGTGCTGATCGAGGTCTTCTGTCAGAAGTTACGATTTTTTGAAAGAAAATACCAAAAAATCGATTTCTTAAGAATTTTTAAGAAATTAATTTTTGGACGTTTTTCAAAAAAAGTCGTAACTTCTGTGCTGATCGACCTCTTTTCAAAGAAGAGGTCGAGCACAACAGTTAGTAATTAAATACAAGAAGACTTAGGATAACAGCTGTATTGGATTTTATAGCACAGTTTTTAGATTTTTAGAATTTTTACTTAAAAATTCCAAATTTCGGGTGATCTCGTTCTTTTATTTTTGTCTCTATAAACATGTTGGAAAGTCTCCAGGGTACTTTTGGAAACCACATGCTTTACGCTTTCTGATAAAATTTGAAGTGCGCCAAATTGTTGTGAATGAAAGAAGTTATGATTTTTGAATATGGTGCGACAGAATTGTCGCACCATTCTCAAAAAATAGTAATCTTCCTATCGCAATGATTTTCTATGACTGAAATTCTTTTAGAAAGGGCAATCCATGCACTTTCTAGCGGTGCCTTGGTTGCTATCTACTTCACTCCGAATGCAAAGATCAAATTGGAGAAATGAAATCACTCTAAGTCAGGAATTTGAGGAAAGCCCGTTAAAAATTCCAAAACCGTGCCATATAATCCGAAAAGCCAGTATCCTAGACTATTTGAACCCCTCTTTCTAGTTGTGAAAGAATCGCGCTAATCGATCTGTTTTTTGAGAAGTTATGGTTTTTGAGAAAAAATGCCAAAAAATTAGATTCTTACAGGCAGTTCAGGCAAATCTGGGCGTATGGGTTTTTTGCCTGAAAACTGTCGAGGGGGTCCTAGTTAAGGCATTGCTTAAATAGCAACGCAAATTATTCATTCAAGGCCGAGATATCCATCCCTAAGCACTCCGCGGCTGCGCCGTGACCGTAACCCTTTCATGGGTCCCAGCACGAACGTAGTGTTAAAGTGGAGCGAAGTCGTTTTTGGGTTACGGTCACGGCGCAGGGCCGGGCTTTCGGGGACGTTAATGAACAATTTAAGCTGCCTCTTAGGCAGTGCCTTAGATAGGATCCCCCATCAGTTTTCCGGCGGAAAACCCATGCGCCCAGATTTGCCTGGACACTGCCTTTAGAAAAATTGTTTTTTTTGGCGTTTTTTCTCAAAAATCATAACTTTTCGAAAAACAGCTCGATCACCGCAAATCTTGCCCAATTAGAAATACGGGTTCCAATAGTCTAGGATATTGAATGTTTTATGGCACGGTTTTGGAATTTTTAACGGGCTTGCCTCAAAATTCCGGACTCAAAGTGATTTCACCAATTTTATCCTTGCATTCAGAGTGAAATAGATAGCAGCCAGGGTACCGCTAGAAAGCGCATGGATTGCTATTTTTAAGAATATTTTAGCCATGCAAAATCATCGCGAAAGTAAGAAGTTACGATTCTTTGAAGATGGTGCGACAGAATTTTCGGTTCAACCTAATATACGGGGTGTCCCAAAAAAGTATGAACATTGTTCGATTGTTAATAACTCCCTTGCTTTTATGTCTTTCGCCGAGCTTGAGGCACCATTCTAAAGAGCGAGGTTTGACTTAGATCTACAGTATGAGCGAATCGTCGATCGCTTTTCATTACTGTAGGATTATGGTAGGAGCTTCGACGAAGATTTTAGGCCATTGGAGGCCATATTCTCCTCGGAACAAAACTAAACAAGCCAAAAACTTTTATACTATGGTAATGGAAGCCGCTGAGTTCGGATATAAAAGTTCCGCTTTACTGTGATGCTAATTCCAAGGTTATCCCAGCTAAACCGCGATAATGAATTTCCAGCATTTGTCGGAAATGTGACTACACCGTCAAAAAAGCTAAAAACACTCGTAAAAAGTTGTGTAATGGAATCAGCGTGCGCGAAAATCCTAGTACACAATTTTTCAGATTTTTGGAAAACTTTTTTGTCAAATGGCATATTTCAAAATCCACATGCTAGAAGTTCATACTGTAATCCTACATACAGTAAAGAACACCAACTGATGTTCGCTCCATACTACAAATCTAAGTTGAACCTCGCTCTATACAAAATGGTGCCTTAAAGGCACCGTCCACCCAAAATGGAGGTTGGCGAGATTATGATGGCCCCCATACTAGACAAACCCCCAAGCTTCGCCGCAAAAGACTGCTTCTGAAGCGAGAAATCCGCTCAGGAAGTAACAAAAGTGGGCGAGGCGCCCCCGGTCGCCCCGCCCACTTGCATGCTTTATCTCGCTTGCATTTGTTGCAGAGGGTTCGCGAAACAGGGATTTTTGGGGGTTTCGCGAATTTTCGACTCCTTATTCGGGATCAGGGCTTTCAGAAGGCCTGAAGGCGACAAAACATTGAATTTGAGTTTGGTGGACCGCCGTGGGCGCCCCGCCCACTTTGTTACTTCCGGAGCGGATTTCTCGCTTCAGAAGCAGTCTTTTGCGGCGAAGCTTGGAGGTTTGTCTAGTATGAGGGCCCATGGTATGCCATCATAATCTCGCCAACCTCCATTTTGCGTGGACCGTGCCTTTAAGCTCGGCGAAAGACATGAAAGCAACGAAGTTATCAACGATCAAATAGTGTTCACATCTTTTAAGACACCTTGTATTAGATTGGACCACAAGTTCGTTCGCTTCGCACCATTTTTAAAAATTCACAACTTCTGGATTTTCCAACCAATTTGTGTGTTTCTATTTCTATCTGAAAGAATAAGTCATTTTTTTCATAGCGGAGTCTTAGCGGCATTCTATAGAGCGTACACTGCATAGATAGAAGCGGTGGAAGAAAATTACTCAAATTTTGCATTTAAAAAATCGGAGACTTGCAACAAAGCTTACAGTAAAAATTGGAGCAGTCAGTATTGTAGGTTCTTTCACCATCTTTCTAACTGTGCAAAGTTTGCGCTGATTGAGCGTTTCTATAAATAAGATTTTCCTGAAAAGTGCCGAAATAAATCAAATTCGCCCTTTTGTATTGTTTGCTCGAAGGTCATAACTTTTCATAGAGACTCAATCAGTGCAAACTTTGCACAGTTAGAAAGAGCTGGTGAAAGAACCTATAATACTGACTGCCCCGATTTTTACTGCAGGTTTCAGATTTTTTATGACCCTACACAGAAAATGCAAAATTTGAGTAATTTTTTTCTACCGCTTATATCTACGCAGTGTATGCTCAGTAGAATGCTTCTGAGATACCGCCATGAAGAGAATGACTTGAGATAAAAATAGAAACTCGCAAATCAGTTGTAAAAACCAGAAGTTACGAATTTTTGAAAATGGTGCGACAGGACTTTCGGTTCAACCTAATATATACAAGGTTGGTCCAGTTCTGTCGCACTATTCAAAAAAATGTAACTTCTTTGATTCGCAATAGTTTTGCGTGGCGAAAACATAGGTGGAAAGGGCAAAGCATTCACTTTCTCATGTCGTCTTGATCGCTATCCACCTCCTCTTTCTATATGAGCAAAGTTTTTGCCAGTCGGGTTCTTCTTCAAAAGTTACTAGCTGGCTTACCCGGCTCCGCCCGGCCTTGTCATTATTTTATTCGTAATCAGCATGCTCGATTACCCCCCTGTGCCAACTCCCAGCCCCGTAGCTAAAATTTTGCAAAAAATCGATAAAATCGATATCGATCGATAACGAAGAGTAGCCTATGACACCCGTCCGGTCCCGAAGTGTATGTGTGCAAAGTTTGGTCCGGATCGGTTCAGAAATGGGATTTTCTATTCGGAACATACGTACACACAGACATACATACAGACAGACAAACAGACATTCAGCTTTATATATAAGATGAGTTTGAAAATGCCAAAAAGTCAGTTTTTCTAAGAAATTGCTCTTAGCATTTTCAAAAAAAATCATAACTTTTTGAAAAAGAGCTCGATTAGCACAAACTTTGCTCACAAAGAATGCGAAAGTTAGAAAACCTATGGGCACAGTTTTGGATTTTTCAACGTGTTTGCTTCGATAAGTGATTTCCTTTTCCGATTTATATGTCTGCGACCGACCGGCGCTCAAAAGAGAGCATGCTAGAAGTCATTAAAATGTACATGAGTTAACCTCCTTTCTGATAAAGCAATCTTTGATTCGCTTCATACTTAAAATCTAAGTTAAACCTCTCTCTACACATCAGTACCTAATGCTCGCCGAAAGACATCAAAGCAAAAAGCTACTGACGATCAAACAGACGTGCAACAAAGGCAGGCAAAATATTTAAACACTATTCAACGCAGCTTTTCTTTTTCTTTCAAGCAGTCATGTACATGTACTGATTACTTTCGTGGTCACTGAAGTAATCAGCCAAAGTTTTGTCCCGAACTTTTCGAAAGCCTTTAATACCATTCTGATAGCAAAACGAAGTGCAATGCACAGCAGTTTTTGGCATGTTCAGCTGGCTTATCAGTAGTTTTTGAAAATAACTGTTTTAAAAGTCCTCAATTTTGCGAAGTTGCAAATTACACGGACACTCCAAACACTAACCATTCTCCAGAATTCGAAACTTTTAGAAGTCGAATATGATCGTACACTGATTATACAAAACAGATGAGCGCTTACCGTGTCGAAATATCAAACGCATTTTACGGGTACAGCCTGGGGCGGCTTCAAAATCAAGAATTAGTTGATTTAATCTACAAAGTGTCAGAATGGGCTCTATCTGCCTTTCTACTTATCACTGCAAGTGGGCAGCGCGCGGATCTATCGCTACTAAATTCGTATCAGCTATCATTCGATTACGTTGAAAAGCTCACAGCGATTGATTGGACGATGACGCATGGAGATGTGATGGGTTCTGAAAAAAAAAACTTTTAGTCACAAGACATTTTTGCGTTTGCTCAAAAATCAGCAGTAGGATTATTCAAACAGATTTTAAGAGTAAATCTGCCCAAACATGTACCATTTGACGTCAATCAGTTTCTCGACTATTACGATAGACATAATGCTAACAAAAGAACGATTTGAACTCAAGGTGGCCATGAAATGAAACGCATGTCAAACCGCGCATCTGGGGAGGGTGAGTCCAAAACTGCTACCCATTTCTGCGATGCGACATTAAGTAACAAGTTATGATGGTTTGAAATTTTTTTAACGGGCCGCCAAGGAAAATACGTTTTCATAGCATTTCTTAGACTATTCGAATTTATCCTGACAATGAAAACCGTACATGGAAACTCACAATTCCAAAAACCCCCTATTCGACGCTGGATCTAGGAGTCACCCGTGAAGAGAACCATAATGAGATTGATCACATTATCGTCAACCGGAGGTGTTGTCTAACGTACGTTGCTGCTGTCCCAAAATTCTATAGAGACCGGCCCTCGTCTTCGTGCCAAGTTCTATTTTTGAAGGCAGGGAGGAGTGAAAAGTGGAAAGGGTAGGAGAGAGATGGGAGAAGAGGGTGTGGAAATGGGAGATAGAGGAAAGAATACGGACGAAGAACCGGTGGTTATCAGATTTCAACGATGAAGTAAGAGGCGTTCGGCGCATGCCCATTAGTGGTGTTCGAGTTTGTGTGAAGTTCTCTGTGGAATGGGTAAAAGAAGTTTCTCTCTCTCTCTCTCTCTCTCTCTCTCCCTCTCTCAATATCTGTGGATATCGAACCACTTCGAATGAAGATGAACAAACGCTGTAAGCGCTCTCCAATGCAAAATTTCTTCCTCTTTCTACGATTATGTTTTGTTCAGATTCCCTTAATGTCCGCTCAGTAATAGGCAGGAATCCCCAACCCATGATCTTCAATCATCTTCAGTTTGGCTATCATTCAAAGTCTCCATTTCATCCTGTGAACTAACTTCAATAACAGTTGGGAATAAACGAAATGCAATACAATAAACTATTTGGGCTCCATCAACTAATTCTTCAGTATTTTTTAAGATAATGTTTCCAAAAGCTCTCACTTTTGCGAAGTCATGATATACAGTAGTTTCAAACACTGACAAATCTTCGGAGTTAGGAGCTTTCAAAAACAGATTATGACTTAGCACTAATCTTAGCAAGCAACTGAGCAATTAGCGGCTCGAAATATTACATTCCAAATTTTCTGAATACAGCCTGGGACGCGCCTAAACAAAAATCATAATGATTTTGTCCTCAAATATTACACAAATTAGGAAAAAGGTTGTCTATCAGAAAGAGGAGAAAAAGCTGCATCGAATGACACCTTGGTAGCTAGTCGTTTATTGTTCTGTGAGGATTGAGATATCCAAAAACGGAATTTGATAGCATCAGAAAAATATTTTCAAAAATTTTGAGAAGCCAGCTAGAGATGCCAGAAAAATGTATTGTATTGCATTTTGTTTATTTTATCCAAATGTTATCAAAGCTAGTCCAAAAGTTGAAAATGGAAATTTCAAATATTAGTCAGACTGAAGATGGGTGAAAATCGTGAGTTGGAATTTCGCTCTCGTCACATGTTACAATTTCTATGTGCTAGTAAAGTAGAATTTCCATTCAAAATTTATCATTTTGCGAGGTGAAATCCCATCCTTGGAAGGAGTTATGCAGGTGACAAGGCGGAAAATCCTACACAGGGCTTCCGCAGCACTTTGTTTGGTGTTCCGCACCATTTTGCGGTTTTCGCTTTTGAATCGCGACCCGCTTCTTCCATATTAAGCTTCCTTTTTTATACTAGGCTTTCCTTTTCACTCTAGTTTTCCACTTTTTACTAAGCCGTCATTCCTTTGATATGGAGACTACTCTAAACTTTCGGGATGCTAAGAGACATAGACAGCGAGATAGTTTTATTAAGCAAATGGCGCAGAGTACTGTTTCATGCAAGCACCATATAGAACCACAATAGGCCGAAGTTGATAATTGGATATCAACAGATTGACAAGGCTGAGAATCAATAAAGAAAAATGAAGTGTTCTTATATAAATATACATGAATTTATAGAAGCATTCGGATGTATATCAATATTATATAATATTTGGATAAGCCACTTTTCGTATTTTCGCTCAAAAAGGAAAGAAGCAATGGAAATTGAGCCAAATTTGGCATACGCATTGCATGGGGTGGGATATGTGTTAATAAGCCATTTTTGTTCGAGACCCACCCATTGCTTCTATTGTTTTTGCTGTTTTTGCTTGGAAAATTCTTTATGTTTGCTCAAAAAGGATAGAGGGAGTGATGGAATCTGAGCTAAATTTGGCAAACGCAATGCATGGGGTGGGGCATGTGTTAATAAGCCATTTTATTAGGGTGATCCAAAAGTAATGGGGCACCTAGAGAATAAATGCAGTTTTCTCAAACAGAAAAGATAATTGGAAGTCCAAGTTTTGGCAGATGTTAGTACATAACAAAACCTTCTGATCGAGGTCTACAGTTGGGCACTGTCACATGGCGTTATTTTTATAAGCGCTTAAAATTAAAGCTCATCACTTCAAGTAGATTTGAACTTTGAGCAGCAGCGCCGCAGTAGAACAAGTGAGCCTACCAAAGATATCTGCGCAGCAATGGGTGAGGGGACTGTCATCAAATCCACGATAGATTGGTGGTCCCAAGGCTTTAGAACAGAAGATATAGCATTGGGTATCAGGAAACATATTACTTAATCTTTCACCAAGGTAATCAAATAAGCTCAACCTTAACAGTCGCATTCTGATAGTGCTTTTCACACTCTATCCATACATATGCACATTACTTCGACTTTTCTTATTTTCAAAAAATTATGGGTCAAAACATGAATTTTAGTCTAAAAATCTGCGCCAAACACCGCACTTTTTCGAATAAAGTGCCTTTTTTGTATGAAATAATGGGCAATTTTCAAATATTTGAGTAATCATCAGAAAGAGCTTAGAAAGCTCTTTCGAATGGTATGCCATATGTCGAGGGATTTTCAGGTGCAGCAGCACAAATTCGGATGGCGTTCAAAAAAGTCTGTCTGACTTCTTTGAAGCGCCGCTCGAAGGAATGTCGGTGAGGTGCTGCAAGGTGCTGTCAAGATAACCTGCGAAGGTCACTTTATACAAAAGCGTTCAAATTGCTGGTTGTTCATAGCTAATCAGAAAGAGATTTTGAAGAATCTTGAAAAAAAATCAAGGTGCCCCATTACTTTTGGATCACCCTAATATTCGGAATCCAACCGGAATGGTGATATTAAGGGGAAAACGGTGAGTATTTAAGCTTGCTGGTAATAGTAACAGTATATGAATACTTATATAATATTTAGATAAGCCACTTTTCGTATCTTCGCCCAAAAAGGATAGAAGGAGTAACGGAATCTGGGCCAAATTTGGCGTACGCAATGCATAGGGTGGGGCATGTGTTAATAAGCCATTTTGTATGAAACTCACCCGTTGCTCCTATCGATTTATTGATTTTTTGCTTTTTTGCTTGGAAAATTTTTTATGATTGCTCAAAAGGGATAGAAGGTTTAATGGGCCAATAATAAGCCATTTCATTCGTAACACACAAGTTGTTTCTATCGATCTCTTGGTGTTGTTTTTTTTTTTTGCAGTTTGCGTGATATCCGTTGCTTAGCATGTTGAATCAAAACTGACAAAGCCGAAACTGTGTCCTCAGTTTTTCCTTCTGCGCATGTTATAAATCAGAGTAATTCGTGCAGAACGGCAAATTTTCACATCTCTGCATTATAGAGTAAAACGAAAGGTTTACAAGGCAGTGAAGCTGCCGAGTACTAGCCGAATCTGCCGCGTAAGAGAGCGGCTGGTATATGCATAACCGATTAAAGTTGGGAAAAATCGGCAGAAATCAGGAACAATGATATACCAATGAAGGAGTAAAGATGGAAGAATAAGATAAAAGCAAGAATAACAACATCATTTACAAGGTAAGATGCGCTCCAAGAGGAAGATGGTCCTCTGGGAAAATATCCCTTTTGCACCCATCGGTGTCATTTTGGCCTTGTCCGCGCGAGTGAGGCCGATTTCAGCCTTCTTTCCTTTCTGTAATAAGAAATAGAAATTTTTTGATACAAATCGTGCATTGCCGCAAATGTTCCTTTTTGCAACTCCTTCGCTAAGAGATACAAAATTTGGACGATTTATTCAAAAACTTTGGATTTCAAAATTCAAGAAAATCTTTAAGAGAGATTTGAAAATCAAGAGTTCAGCAAAGAATCAAGGCTTTACTTCGACTCTTCGAATTTGTTTGGGATTTAAGTTTGACGACAGAACTTTCGGTCCAACCTAATCCAGCATTTTCCAGACAAAACAGGTATTTGTCAGACTCTTAGGCAGTTATGTGTAAGTGAAAGTTATAATAATATATAGAAATAATTGTAAGTAAGCTCAAGCTAAGCTAAGCCTAGTAACTCACGCATTTACACTCTACAGAATACATTCATTTGTGCCGTTGCTGGTTTGTTTCTCTGCTAGAAACCGAGAAAACTAAAATTTTCAAGCTTCCAAACAAGCGATGCTGCGTTATTTTCACATAGGTTAATGTATACTACAGGCCTTTACAAGTACAGTCACAGATTTCCAGCTTTCCACAAAGTCTACTTCCAAGAAATATCAATTTCAACCTGTAATACCTTGGCAAAAAAAGCTAGATTCGGTATTTCTAAAGGCGCTTCGGGGAGGCTGAAAATTTAACGACGTATTACTGAAGGGCTGTAGTATACACTAGTTGGCAAACCCGGCTCCGCCCGGACCTGTCAATAATATATTCGTAATCAGCATGCTCGACTATCCCCCTGTGCCAACTCCCAGCCCTGTAGCTCCAATTTTCCAAAAAATCGATAAAATCGGTATCGATCGATGACGAAAAGTAGCCTATGACATCCACCGGAGCCCAAAGTGTATGTGTGCCAAGTTGGTCCCGATCGGT